TGGGTCCGCCCCAGCTGTCGGCGCAAGGGGGCGCTGGGAGCCGGGAGCGGGGGGCTGGGAGCCCGGACGCCTGGGTTCCTTGCAGCGCTGGAGTGGAGCGACAGCCGGGGGGTGCCGGCCGCGGGGCATAGAGGACTGCGGACTTTCCAGCCCTCACCCCCCTTCTGCCCCCTCAGGTCCCGGGCGTGGGCCCCTCCTTCAAGCTGACACTGCATCTCCAGAGCGCAGCACCTGCCGGGGCCAGCACCGGGCTGCTGCTCGGCGCCCAGTCTGAGGAGCGCTGTGCGCCCTGGCCAGCGCCCGGGTGCGGGTGCGGGTGCGGGTGCGGGTGCGGGTGCGTGTCCCTGCCCGCACGGGGCGGGCCGCAGCCTGGCACACCCAGCGCCTGGCACCCCCCAGAGCCAGCTGCAGCCCAGCTCGGGGAAGGCTTCCCAACCCCTCTCACGTGTCTGTCTCTTGCCAGCAGACCCCCATGCTGGTCCGTGGGCTGAACTATCCCACCCAGACCCACCTTTACGGAGTGTCTCAGTGATAAGTGCATCTCTGACGTCATCAAGTGGATTCGGGGCGCGTGGGGGCATAATCCCAGCCCCTAATGCCCTACTGTAGAGTCAGAGAGTGCCTCTTCTACCCAGCCCGCAGCCCGGAGCTGGGTACAGGGAAACCAGGGCTCCCAACTCAACATGGTTGTTTTTTACTGACGCGTTTTACCTGACATCTGTTTTTACTGGCGTTGTGTTTCTCACCTGCTCAGTGTAAGTGTGTTGCCAGGCCCTGCCCAACTACCAGGCCCGGGTGAAAAGGGCTGGGGCCACATATAGGAGGGTGAACACCACGGGAAGGAAAAAAAGTGTGGGTGTCAGGAAGAAGTTTGCCATCAAAAAGGGTTTTTTTAAGTCTTCAATTGGCAGCTCTGTCTGATTTGCAGTTCGGTTGACACTCTGCTACCCCCACCCCGTTGTTCCCCTATTCACTCTGCATCCTCATGACCCCTGCTGTCCCCCCAAGATGACTACTGGGATAGGATTGGATCTCCTTTGTGCCATGAAAGCAGTGTTTGCCAGCAACCTGACGTGAGGCTGCACTTCCCTTGGCCACCAAGAGCCACTGCCGTGCTCTGTCTGTCCTTCCATCCAGCTCCATCTCTGGCGCCCCAGGGACTTCCACCAACAACTGGAGCTCGGTTGGGATTTGTGGGGGGCGGGGGGGGGTTGTGTGCTTGTTTTTACTGATGGGCATTTTTCAGCTCTTTTCTTTAGTGACTGTCTGGCCTTTCCTGGCCCGTTGGTAACAGCACACCTCCTCCTCCTCCAGGTGCTGGTGCTACAAAAGGGCCTTTGCACGCCGCTGCTGACTGCCCACATCAACATGCCCATGAGCAAGGGGCTGGTAACTGCCCATGACTCCCACGGCCTGGCCCAGACCAGCCCACCCGATGCATGTCAGATGGGCACAGATATGCAGCATTGGGCACAGGGAAGGGGGAACACCTGGATTCCTTGTGTGTGTCCGTCCCAGATGCCAAGGTTCCCCATATGTTTCTCCACCAGCTCCATCATACTCTGTCGCACCAGTCTCTGCTCTGCTGCTTTATTATGTCCCTCCATCCTCCAGTCCTTTGGTCAGGGTAAGGGCGGGCAGTGAACTCGATGGGCGGCACCCCCATCCCCATCCTGCCCCACAGTGGCTGTGATGGGCATCTCAGCGATGCCGCATAGATTGTCTCCACGGTAGATTCGGAAGTAGCCCTGGATGCGGGGGGAAGCAGGGTGATGGATTGG